TTACGTGTCTTTTTTGCATTTGCACTATGAGTAAACCTTATGTGCATTTTAATTGCACTTGTAAATGCAGCGAGCAGTCCTAGCAACATTTAAATACTTTACATTTTTAAGAAATGCATCAGTTGTATTATTCTTGTACTTACAAATGCCAGGAATGTGTGGGAGTGCGGGCAGCAGCAGCAGCCAGCTAGCATTCCTGCTACCACACAGCTGTCAAAATAGTAAAATATATTCTTTTTTTTTTTTTTTAATTTTTTAAGTGATTTGCTGTAAAAGCAACAACATTTCCTAACTAATCTATCTGTTTAGAGACAACCTCTGACTTAGATTTTGCTACACTGAAAGCCAAGAAAATCTGCATAGGCAGGGATGCAATTTTCCTAGTGCTTTTATGAAGCTGCAGATGAGAAACGGTTTCTTTCTATCTGTGATGGATGCACGGTGCTCAACTCTGTGTCTCACTTGCTGATTCCATTAAGGAGAAAGGAAAGCCTGGTTCACAAAGGCAGAGCAGATGCCTGCACAATAGTTTATACACCACAGCTAAGCTCTGGGGCTTTATTATTATTCTTCACCAGTTTTACATCTGGCTGACATGGTAGTAGACAGAAAATATAATTTAAAGGGGCAATGTCAAGTGGTTTACACTCCAAACTTAACCTACTTGCAAAATCTTATAATCTGGAGAAAGAATCCACTCCGCACTCCCTATTTAATTCCTGGGACTGGAAAAAAAATAGTCACGCTTTGTAGAGAAATCTGATGCTGCTGCTCTATTTCTTGGACCTAACTCAGGCACTGTTACAGATGATGAAGACAGTGACTGAAGTCAGGGAGCCTGTGAAGGAAGACGTCAACCCAGAGGTGCTTCCTACATGTTCTGGATCAGTGAGCCACTCACAGTATCTTTGATAAACATCACTTCTTCCCCCATTCAAAGGAATTAGAAGATAATGGTACAGAATGTTGGAGTTCAGTCACATTTTAGGACATTTTTCTTTCTTCAAATATAAATATTCCGTGGTATTTGTTTTGGAAAATGCATGGTCCAAGACCCTTCTTCATCCTTGGAGCAAAGAATCTGCGGCCGTTTTGTGGCCTCCATCCCACAGGCTTGGCCCAACCAAGGGCAGGCGATGTGTTGACACAGATGGATGTTGCCCTTTTTGGTAGAGAGTTCAGTTTGCTTTGACAACACAGCCATCTGTTAGCAAGCAACCCAAGAATACAGCTCGAAATGACTGCCTGCGTGTGTGCATTTTCACCCAAGGAGACTATCATGGCTGAAAACGCCTTTTTTCACCAACTTCACTGCAGAGACTTGATCTAATCAATGCTCATAGAGGGAATTTTGTCTGGTCTGGAAGACTGTGTTATTGAGTAGGTCTATCAGATTTGTCAGTGTCGTCATTGACAATTTTCATGAATATATAACATAGAAATGTGGCTCATCCATATCCACTCATTCTTTGAAGTGCTTGTGAAAAAAAATCTCTGTAAGTTGATAATGAAAAAGGATAAAATCAGTAAGGGGTATAATTGCTAATATCCAGATCTTAAGGAGGGAGTGTAAGCATAGAAGAGCAAAAATACATTGGCAAATGAATAAACAAGATGAAAACTCCTTGACTGTCCAGACTCCGAAAGCAAAAATGCCACCGAAACAGCCATCTTCTTTATACACCTAATGGAAAAATTCAAGAAAACATCCTTCACAGGACTTTCAAACGCTACGTTCTAAAACATATATTGCATTTAGAATGGTTAAAAATGTTCTTCCATGGAAACCGTGAGATCAAGCGTGTTTCTACTGAATTTGAGGCAAAAGCCCCCACCAACTCATTTATTGGCTAAAATGAAATGCCATCTCTCAAGCATGATCAACATTAACGAGCTGGTATTTGTTGAAAAGAGTGACAACTGCCCAAAGTCTGATGCATCATTTGGCATGCCAGAAAAATGAGAGGGGCCAGAATGCGCAAGTAGAGGCACGGACACACACTGTGCTGATACATTTCCAACTTTAAAAACAAATCTTACCTCTATCAAGTATGAGCACTCAAAACAAACAAGGCTGTGCAAACTTAAAATAAAGATTTCTGTTCCAAAGGAATGAGTGCTCTTAGCTCTGCAGACTGAAGGATTCATGTGTTCATTAGCAACGATCAATAGGCTTCAAAGAAGAACAGTAAGGAGCAAAGACATTGACTGAACAGACAGAACGAATAGCTAATAATAATAATAAAAAAAATCTGCTGGCTGTTGGGTTGTTTGCAAAGGAGCTCCCTCCCCAGGACCTCCAGATGAGAATGCAAGGGTTTTGGTGAAAAAATATGTACCATTTGGTTACTACCATCTTTACAGAGAGCATTACCACTACATAAGCACAACTGATAACATACAATCAGAGAATCATTTAGGTTAGAAAAGACCTCCAAGACCATCAAGCTCAACCGTCACATGAATCTACCCAGTCCCATCACTAAACCATTTCTACAACAAATATCCCCACTTATTATTCTTGTACTAAACATAATAAAACTTTCATATCCTTTATAGAATGTAAGGATGGCATGAAGCTTCCTGCTGAATAAACTTTGAACCTAGAACCTAGTCTCAGTTTTATACTGCTATCCCCCTTCCATTTACCTACTTGTTAAAGGCTGCAGTAACTACTTGTTCCAATGGTCCCTTTCTCCTAGGGTTTTCTTACAGTATTATGCCACAAACATTTAGAGAAACTGGAGTCGTGGCTTATCCCACATGAACTTGCAGCTTTCAACCTACATGCTGTTATTGTATGTAAAAGTGAAAAATTAGGTGGGAATAATAGTTAGGTGCGCAGAAAGATGTACAGTCAGCTGCAGTAACCTGCTGTAGTTCATTATACCAATGGATAACACCCAATGACACTGGCCCGTGGTACATCATCACTGCCCTTAAGAAACCCACTGGAGCCTGAGCCATAGCAGAAGGCCTGAAGATCTGCTAGCTGTGGTGAAATAACGGCACCTTTCTGTGCCACACACATACCTATTGGACATCACTGATGGTTCGGGATGTCTGCACCCATTTAGGGGACTGAGAAGCACCGTGTCCCCTGCACAGCCCCATCACTTCTGGCTAGACCCATGGGCACGCTCCTGATGCCTCAACGCATCTCTGCTGTAGACTCATTCCTTGGTGCTGTTGCTCTGCCTCTCTCCCTGCCCAATAACCCAGTTTCCTCTTGTGTTCCCTTCTTGGCTTCCATCTCACATCATTTCCCTGCAATCAATTTTCCCCTCAGGACTGCTACCCACACCTCTCCCATTTGAGTGTGGGCTGAAATATCATCTCTGCTAAAGTGAAACTGCTCTCCTCCTCCTGCCCACTCCCGAGCTGAAGGTGCCTTCTGTGCTCCTCTTCCTCCATGACCCCACGACTTTTCTTTCTCATCTCATTGCTGCTATTTCCTCCTCCACCCTAATCCTCAAACTGCCTTTCTTCCCATTTTGTTACAATTCACTTGCTTCACACCCAAATGCACTAGGTTACCAGGCTGGAGCAGAATAGGATGGGTTATGTAGCATTCAAAAAGAGCCTGCAGGCTTCCATTTTAATTTGGAGACTCCAGTTATCTCCCCAGCTCTCCAGCAAAGAAGAGAAAGGATCTAACACAGCTGTGCTTCTTACTGTTGTTTCTATCTCAAAATAAATCATTTTGTTCTACTTTGCCTTAAACCCTGCCCACCATGGGATACAACCTCAGGCCTCCCAGCTTTTTCAGAAAACTGACTGCAGACTTCTTTCCTTGCATGACTTCACCACGGAAGGGCTCCTTGGCAGTAGGAAATATCTGGACCACGGCACTTCTTTGATCTTTGGGAAAGTAATCCTGGCATCCATTTTCCATAGAAATTTCCTCCCTTGCTAATTTGTCCTGCAATCACCCCAGTACCTCAAGCTCCTCTGGCTCACCAAGCCATCATTTATTCATAGCTCTATGTTTTAATCATCATGCATCATTGTTAAGTTGGAAGAGAACAATCCCTTTGTAACGGCTGGGTGTAATATTAACCCAAGGACATCGTGCATGCAGCACCCTGACAGCAGTGACCAAACTGAGTCATCACGCTGCACGACTCCCCCGGTAAGAGATTTTAAGAGCTGTGAAACCATCAGCTGGACTTCACCTAAGCAATGCAGCAAGCTGCTCAGGTAAAGTCAGCAACTGGCACCTACTCTCTAAACAGCTACTTTCAAATTACAGCAATCTGAAAAACCTAAGCCACAAATACATCGCTTGGCACGTTTTCACCTTGCCTTCTCAAATGCCTGAATTCTCAGCACGAGCTGTGAACATTAGCCTGCGTGCATACAAACACCCAAACCCACACATACATACACATTCAATTTTCTAAATCAGTCGTCCTGGGCAAAGGGTGTAAAACAAATACCTCCCAAACCTCACTGGCATTTGCATGTTTTTAATTTCAAATGCTGTATAAGGTTATTCAGCCATTATGTTTTACTGTAGCTTCTAAATAAAACCATTTATCACTTAAAAAAACATTTAAAGAACCTTGTTAACTTTACAAGTAATAATATCTACTGTGGCAATGTTTCATGGTACCAGAGCTTTGCTATGGTCTGGATTTTCTCCTTCTTAAGCCTGCATATCATGAACAAAATACGTATATTCTATGCGTGGTAATTCAGTATTTTTCTGAATTATTTTTCTGAATTCTCAAACGTCCACTTGTTCTGGCAAACGGGTTACTGCATTTATTATTTTCACTGTCAGAATGGGTGTTTTATGTCTGTAAAGTGATAAAACCGGAAGAAGACCACTTATTAAGAAGAACGATAGTTTCTAGCAACAGAAAGTAATGAGAACATAGTGGTTTCTTCTAAAGCAAACAAAACCTTAGTAGAAGACAGCCACCTCTGTAAAGAGAGGAGAAAAGTGACTCAGTGCAGCTCTCGCCAATGGATTTCTCACATAATAGGAACCATACCTGCATAATCTGTCCGTGCGTAATGCCCATCTTCAGATTTTGTAGTTGTTGTAGTGTTATCTGTGGGAAAAGAAATACACTGGATTGCTTGGGGAGTCTCTGCTCGCTCCTGAATCCAACCCAGTACCCACGCAAACCCACCATCCCTTCTGTGCACAGCATCACTGCAGGCTGCAGGGCTCCCCTGGGTTTGCCAGGTGAAAACAGCAGGAGCGGGCTTTTTGGAATGAAACACCAAGCATCTTCCATTAAGAAAACACATTTTTCTAACAATAGGTGACAACAGATTGCACCTGGGATAAATACATCAGTGCAAAGCAGGACTTGTCATTTCTGCTCTATTTGAAGTAATTGGGGAGTTTTAATATGTACCCTGAAATGAACCTCCACGTAGGGTGGTTAACTTTAAAGAAATGGGAATAAGTGAGAATGTGTTCAATAGAAAGGTAGAGTGTGGCCTTGTAAGTAGATGTACCGAGGATTTATGGGTCAGAAGCTAAGGGGGGAAAAAGCTATTTAGTGTCTGAGTCCCAGTAGGCACTTTATTTACAGCAGCTATTTAAAGGCAAATTTCCATCATTTTTATTTTAGAACAAACTGGAGTTTTTAAAGCCAACTCAGGGCCATGTGACAGAGCACCCTAAGAGCTGGGAAGGAAGCAGCATGGCAGTCATGGCAAACACGGCCAGTCTGCAGCTAGCATTAACAAAACTTCCTTCTAGGCACCGCTGGCATCCCATGAGCCCAGCAGATGAGAAACAAGCACCAGCACCATGCACCACACACATTACAGCAGCCTAATGGAAATGCGAGAAGTGCCAAATGAGAAGGCAGCCCCGGTTCTCTTTTTCTTTTTCTCTTCTCTGAGCAAAAATTGAAAACATTCTTTGAAATGAGTTTTGTTATGAGCGTTACCTTGACATCGACCCAAAGACATGACTTCAATTTTCTCCTGTTTCTGGCATGATGCCTCTTTGATTTGACATGCATTATCATAAGATTTCCCATCGGAAGCACAAAGAGGATTGAAGTTGGTTTGAGAACAGTCGATGTTGCACACACACCTGAAAAGACAGGAGAGAGAAAAAAGAAGAGGCTAATATGAGTAAGTTTTTTCCTTACATCATCAATGCATCTCAGAAAAGAGAGTGTCGTATTTTCCTGACTGAATAATGTAAATCAACAGAATGAAAGTGGAAAATTCTGTTAAAAGGTCATTTGTATTTCTGGATGGAAAAGAATGCGGGAAAAGAGGAAAAAGAAAAGCGAGAAAAAGGACAGATTAAAAAGAGAGTTATACTTGGAAAACTAAATGACAGCATTACCAGCTGCAATTCTTGTAAACCAAAGAACATCCAAACAGATATGTCAGTAATTTATGCTGCTACGCCCTCTTGCAATTAAAGAAGCCACTAAATTTACCCCTGTTGAGTTGCTGCGCATTGCATGTAACTCAGCATCTGTGGGGTTTTGTACTGATTTATTATTTGGATGATAATGACAGCAGCCATATGCGCTCTGATCATAATAAAGGAAGAAATGTTGCAACCACACCCCATCCGGCTGGGTAAAAACACCTGCTAAAGTCCAGAGTGACATCAGTGAGGCACCGTGTCCCACTCGTGAGCTCCTGGCTGCCCCACAACCTGAACCAAAAGCCAAGTAAGGACAATCGAGGCATTTAGATATCAGGAGGAAATTCTTTACTGTGAGGGTGGTGAGACACTGGAACAGGTTGCCCAGTGAAGTGCTGGATATCCCTTCCCTGGAGGCGTTCAAGGTCAGGCCGGATAGGGCTGTGAGCAACCTGGTCTAGAGGGAGGTGTCCCTGCCTATAGCAGAGGGTTGGAATTAGATGATCTTAAAGATCCCTTCCAACCCGAACCATTCTGTGATTCTAAGGTTCCATGATTTGATCCAAAAGCAAGGTCTGGATCTGAAATAACACGTTAACATGGCCATATCCACCAACAGTAGGCTGCAGTCTTTTTCTTTTAGGTTTCTCCTATTTCATCATCATCAGTGATGTCAGACACCCCTGGGCATCGTTGAAGGCAAGGCATGCTCATTTTCCATCCCCGGTGCCTCATAACAGACAGCCCAGCCTCAGTGAGGTCGCATTAACACCGATGTGACCCCGCTCAGGGACAAAGCCAGAGGTTTAACCTAGCAGCTGCTTTGACTTCTCTAAACATGTAATTGCACATGTGCCGCTATCTGGATTTGTGCTGGTTCCTTTTGACATTAAAAGCAGAGCAACACCGTCTCCAGCTCCACTTCAGCCTCACCACACGTGCTTACGGCTCTGCCTTTTGGAAGTTAAGCAAGGGGAAGGCCAAGCTGCTAGCTTAAAAGTCAGCTCCTCTTCCATTCACATCAGGCACCTGGACCCCTTTGGGTGCAGGGAGTGGAGAGGGAGGTACACAACAGAAAAACTTTGGTGGAACGGGCTTGGGAAGAGGATGTGCAGGAAATGAAGCGATCTCGATCAGATTCCTCCATCACCCCTCAGCCTCTGCCCTCCACAAATGTGCCCAGTGTAACAAAAATCAGGGGAGCTGTGACTCGCCTGTGCACAGACTTACTTTACTTAGGTAGATCACTACCACAACACTTCAGCTCAAAAGGAGGCCAAAGGTGAGAAGCATGGCTGTAAATTAAATTAAATGATTTCATAACTAGCAGAAGACAGGAGCCTGGCTCCCTGCATAACACTTTCACCATGCTGATGAATACGCAGTACATAAGAAAAAATCCAGTCCATTTCCTAAGAACCTCCTTATCAGCAGAATAAGGATGTTCTGCTCTACCAAAATATTAACTGCCCTCATTTCTTCCTGCAGTCATTACCAGCTTCCCACCTTACTCACACTCATTTCATTAGGAACCGTTTACCGCTCGAGTAATCGGAATTTTTTCCACGTAGCTCCACCATTTGCATTTCAGATGGGACACATTCAGCCATATGCTCCTTTCTTGTAATAAAACAGCTCCGAAACAGCTTCAGTTCTCAACACCTTGCTACAAAAAATGAGTACAGGCTAATATCTATTATATCTCAAGTCAAGAGACAATTCAGTCAATGAGAAAATTAAAACAAAAGGGTACTCCTTAGGGGAAACCTGGGCACCTTGGGATGCAATTTAAAAAATGCCGAGGGATGTACAAACCTATGCTTAGAGTTAGGCACACAAGAGACACATTTTCAAAGGTGTTTAGATGCTTAAAGATGCATGCAAACATTTTGTACGGGATTTCTGAGAGATCTCTCACTGATTTCAAAGAGCATTTCAGAGCCCATTAGGCATTTGCTTGCATCTTTTGACACCTTCCCGAAACAAAAGTTCCAAAATGACTTTTACGACCTCTCTCAGCAAACGTGAGAAGAAAACAAAGATTTCCCAAAGCTCAGGTGTTAACTGTGAGGCCAAGCTTTTCCCCTCCCAGGAAGGAGCCCTCTAGCTGCATGCTATAAGCAGGATGAAGCACGCACTACTTGCACTCATAGCACAGTGCCCGTGCCTGAGGGACAGCAGAAAGGGGCAGCCTCAGCAGGACACCACACGCTCAGGTCTTGTGGGTAAGGCTAATTTTCAGGGAAGACTACATAGGTGGAGAAAAGCACCATAATATACTCGTCAGCAGGATCTCCTTGCTGCGATGGGCTGCGTGCCATCCACCAATCGTGCTTTAAGGCTGCACAACTAAGTCAAAATTAAGTCTATGTCAGGAAAAGCTAAAGGTAAGGTTTCATCAGTGAGAGTAATGCACTGGGGTGCTGGCTCTGTTTAATTTATAGAGCTCATCTCATCAGGGAAGACGAGAGTATATTCAAGCACATTTTTCTCAAACCAGAGGAACAAGCAGGCTGCCATTTCAACCGTGCCCCCGAGGTTGAGAAGTGTAAATTGCAGAGAAGAAGGTGGGGAGTTTTCTGCAAACGTCTGCATCCAGGCACGTACACAGCACACAGCAACCTTGAACAAGATCCATCCTGCCAAAATGAATACAGAACGAGTGGCACTTAACACGTGCCATTTAATGAGATCCTAGAGCAGTCAGTAAAGTCGCCCTCTGTTTTTGAAGCATGATGACATGCAGAAGCGGGGCTGTCTCCTGCTGAACAAGCAGACCACACTGTGATGTCCCTGATGAGGTCCCAGGCAGGTGGCAGTTCCTGCAAGACCACACCCTGTCCTTTGGGTCCTGCAGCACATCGGTGCTGGGGCTGCTCTGTGCTCCTCCAAGCTGGCAGCATGGCAGCTTCCCACCTCTAAGGATCTTCACTGCATCCCTGAATGTGAGTAATTTGGTCATCTGACCATTTTATCATCCTGGCCGTGACTTCCGATTATCGTTATATCAATAAATCTATCTGCTTGCTGTATTCCTAAGTGTAGTGCTGAGGAAAGCTTGGCAACAGAAAGGCTGACTGTTCTTTTCTTCGGGCTCAAGAAGCTGCGAGAAGGTTAATGAGGTCTCCTAAGGGTCACAGGATGAAATCGTACCCAAGAGCATACACAGAATACACATGTAACGTTTAGCCTTGCTTTCTACAGAAAGAAAAGCAGCTTAAAAGCATCTGGGAGGAAAAAGTGCTTCTAAGAAGTCAGCTGACACTCTACAGCTCCCCTGAGAAGCGAAGGAATACTGAGTGCTGTCCCACAGGCCTGCTGCTTCCTTCAGGTAATGGGGTTCACACATGTCAATTGATTAAAATCTGGGCTCTCACTGTAAACAGCCACTACACAAGGCTCACTTTCTTACATTTATTCTTCCAGGTCATTGCGATCATCTCTGATGAATTCAATGTCTTTTATACATTTTATTCTATTCTGTTCAGTACAATTAAAATCTTGGAGGAGCTGAATGCCCCACTTGGTTAATTTGCTGATCACAGAAGCATAAAACCAAAACAAACCAAGGAAACCTCCAGCCAGCAAACCAGGGCACCTTTCTCAGGGGATTCTGAGCAACCTGGTCTAGTGGGAAGCGTCCCTACCGATAGCAGGGGGTTGGAACTAAATGATCTTACAGTTCCCTTCCAACCCAAACCATTCTATGATTCTGGGCACTGACCTGGCCTCTGTAAAAACTACTGGTGTCAATAAACCTGCCCTGGGTGAGCACACTGGTGAGCACCTGCACTCCTCACTCTCCCCTCCTCTGCACACGACAGATGGTATTGTTCTCTGAGCAGTGTCTTTGCCTGCGGAGGGAATACCACTGAAGAGCAGATTCATGGCTCTGAAGGGCTGTCCCTGGAGGGAGGAACAGCATTTTAAGGTGTCTCAATAGGAAGAGAGGATAGTTCCTCACCCATAAAGTGGAGGCAAATGCTGCAATTATATTTCCTTAGTTCATGAATATAGCATGATCATTAGTGACACAGCGACGATAAAAAGAACCCCATTCCACGTCTTATCTCCACTCCTAAGACAACCATCCTGTCTTTGTTCTCAGCAGTGTATTACTGAAAAACAATTTTAAAAAATTACCACGCAATATCAGCACGTAGCCCGAGGAAGGTTTCATATGTAGCCTGATGGTAAGGAAGTAGATAAATGTGACAGTGCCTCTAAAAGAGCAGTTTTACTGGGAACAGATGCAGAAGCGTTTACAGAATGGCAGCTCCTCTCTATTCGACATATTTTAATTAGCCCTCTGTAGTTTGGAAACCTGAGAGCATTGTTGGTACTACTGCTGTTTATTAAAGATTCATATTCAGACTTCACTGGCCATGGGTCATTTGCTTTTTGGAAGCAAAGCAACAGAAAACTGTGTCTGAGATATCTGCAAAAAGTACTTAATGAAATGACTAACGTCTTCAGCCAAGTGTCTCGTTGATTACAGGGTCCAAACAGCAGAACAGCAATAAATCTGCCACAAAGAGAATTGTCAGTCAAGAAAAAAGGCATAAAACCAACCAGACAAGGAAGCTGGAGCTAAAAATGTGAAAATGCAAATCTAGTGTTATTTTTACTAGTCAGAGCTCTGATATTTGAGTGCATATGCTAATTTGGTCAAGTGTGAGATCCAGCCATGTCTCAGTGCACACTATTTT